ATGTAGGGAGCAGAGAGCATGTAGAGAGCAGAGAGCATGTAGAGAACAGAGAGCATGTAGAGAGCAGAGAGCATGTAGAGAGTAGAGAGCATGTAGAGAGCAGAGAGCATGTAGAGAGCAGAGAGCATGTAGAGAGCAGAGTAGCAGAGCAGAGAACATGTAGAGAGCAGAGAGCATGTAGAGAGCAGAGAGCAGATTATTTTCTTAATTAATCATTTCTTTCTCGTCTTTTCCCACTACACGTATACAGGGTCAAACAGAAATAAGTGAGGTTGCCAGTGCTTTGTACGATGCTGTCTATCAGTATGCCTTGGCATTACATCGACTGCACGAAAGCAATACCACGGTTACCGCTAAAAGAGTTGTCGAAGAGTTTAGAAGTAATCCTTATGAAGGTAAGCGAGTGGTAAATTTTTAGTCAGACGGTTGGCCAGCTAACCAGTTAATTGGTTGGTCAATACATCAAGTCAGTCAGAGCATAAACGTCATTGTTGATTGTTTTATATTTGTTTACGTTTATGAATGATATGAACAGGTCCTAAATATTATGGTCCCATTGGTTCGAGCAAGAACTGTGGGAGGTTTGACAAATTGTTTGACATTCTTCTTATATATATATTTTCAAGTGGTTGCATCCCTACTAGCGAAAGTTTGTTCATTTGTTAAATATTATGAACATAAGTTAATAAGTTTAAAACTTATTATGATTGTAGGCATGAGTGGTTATACATCAGTATTCTTAGAACAGGATGGTCTTCTTAAAGTTCATCTAAGTTTGCTGTATTTGGGCGAGGACGTCACAAAGGAGAACATTCACAATGGTAAGGAGCATTTTTGTAAACTGTGTAAATGTTTGCGGATCGTATGTTTAACACAATGGAGCGCCTGGTTCAGCGAAACGCTCAACTGTAAGCTATGTTAGCCTATATAGCAAAATTTTGAAAGAATTCTGCCACCCTATTCCGACTGCTAACCTAGCCTGCGTGCAGTTCCAGATTCCCAAATTGGAGTCTGGACTGCATACAGGCTAATGCTAACCCTAATTTCTACTCTAACCACATTGAGCTAATCCTAATCTCTATGCAATTATTTATTCTAAACCTTGTGACGCCATTTTGGATTAGTATTTATCCAAACATCCGTTGACTATGCCTGAATAATATTTGTAGTACACGTCAAGACGATTGGCACCTTCAACTACAGTCAGAATGCAACGATGTATCTTACACTGTACGATAGAGGTATCTCTTGGCCATGGAAAAGTGGACGATTAATGGATCAGCCTCATCACGAGTCAGCTGTATTCGCTAATTCTGTATTAAAATTTCGCTCACTATTTTGGTTCGTTTGCTTCTGCATGGCTGCTCATTTCTACTTTGGAAAATAAAATTCAAATGAATCTGGAAAATAATTTGTGAGAAATAATGCTATGTACAGTATTAAATTTTAATAACTGTAAAAAGATTTGTCAAACAATATTACTAAACTTAGTCATGGCAAAACGTTCGTGGGCTGTAAACTAAAATATTCACTGTTCATATATACACATGTTAACATTGAACGAAGGGAGGGGGAGTTGGAAACTGCATGCTCTTTTTGCATGGATATGACTGGAAAAAGCAGGATCAGCAGATATTAATTTTATTTACACACGCCATGCCAGGATGGTATAGCAGTTTAATTTAAGCTTAACCTGATCAAGCTTAACCTGATATAGGTTTAATTTAAGCTTAACCTGATGTCAAGAATTAGGAGAATGTTAATTAAGGACTGATTCGTCACTAAATCGTCAGTATTATTTGTGATGTGGATTAACAGTTTAAATTTAAAATGCTATTATATATTTATGCTATTATAGATTTAATTATTAAGTGGGTTTTTTTATGTAAAGCTATATAACCTTTATATTATATAAACTTTATTATTATAAATATAAACTTTATATATATTTTTGCACAAAAGAAAAGTTAAAGGGTGGAAAAGGGGGGAGGGGGGTATGGATCACGTTTCACAACGGGAAAAAAAGCCGTTTCACGATTCACATGTCTTAAAAAAGCAATTTCACGGAAAACTAGATTCTAATAAAATAATATAATAATAATAGGTTTATTAAGAGAATGTTTAATGCATGGTACAGTATCTACGCTTTAAGTTCTCTCACTTCTCTACCTGTCAGTTAAAAACTACATCATAACTTACAAGTTTGAGTAACGAGTATGTCGGACGACCTCCGAAAGGTCTCCGAAGTTTTTATTCTTGTGCAATCGAGTGAGATCATATAAATTGATTAGCGCGTATCATGTTTATTATGACTATTATAAAATATAGATCGGAAATAAACAAAGCAAAATCACAGGTCACGAAACAGACATACTTAATTCTCATTTCACGGAGCATTTTTATCGACAATCACGCCTCACGGCTGTAGAACAAATCATGTTTCACGACACTAAAATCAAGCATTTCACATTTCACGCGAACAAATATTGACCATTCACGGCTCACGAAAATACCCTTTCCCCCCCTCAGTTAACAAAGAAGTGATATAACATAGTTACGGTTATCAAATCGGTTCAAAAGAATGTTTGAAATAGATCGACTATAGTTTATGTACTGTTTAATAAACGAGCAGGAATGTTTTACTGATTATTATATATTAGGGGTTAGGGGTTAGGGGTTAGTGGTTAGGGTTGGGGTTGGGGTTAGGGTTAGTGTTAGGTGCCGCGAATTTATTATTATGATAAATTCAAAATTTGCCGCGAATTTATCATAATGATAAATTCGGACGTGTTTAAGAATTTACTCATATAGTAAATTCAAGGATGGAGCTCATGCTGAAAAGTTCATGTTGACTCCTTGTTTTAATAAGACATTATTGTCAGACGAATAGATCAGTGCAGGGCTGTAAAACAGCTGCCGGTAAATTTTGAAATTATATTGTTTCATATACTATACTATACTATACTATATCTTGAACACTAAACAGCATATATGTAAATATAAATGCCTTCATGTATATCACCAGAAAGATATAAAGCCATCCTTACCTGATTTATTTAAAATATTCTTGATCGTTTGCATCGTGAAAATCCAATGTAAATACTGTAAGCCGAACTGTAATCTCGTATTAAAACTGAAATCCTGAGAAGAATCATGCATGCGCAATGCAAAATAAAGTTTGACCGCCCCTCTCGTTTAAAAAAACTTCCTGAAGTTTTAATTATTCCCCCGGAATTACGAAATCCTGACAAACAGACACAAAATCGAGAACTCAACAAAACACCAGATCGCGCGAAAGACTGGGTCGAGTGAACTCTCTGAGTCGAGTGGAGAAACTATAGCACGTCAGAATAGTGTGCTAAAAAGTTTGACTATTTCAGTTAACTATTTAACACATCTAGCTATTGGGCTGCCTATGGGTGGGCGAAGAAAAGGATGCCTCAATATCGATCTGACAGCTCCATCACAAAAATGACAATGTTAATGTCTCTTTATACCAAACTATCGGAAGAATGCCTATAT